ACCGGGCTTGTGTGGGAGCTTGCCCGAGCACCTGTTCTGCCTAGTTAGGCCTCGTATTATAAGTCTGTTATTTGAGTTTAATAGATTTTATTGTTTTCGTTAGAAAAAAATAAATAAATAAATAAAAGACTACGGGACTGCCTTTTTTTTTTTCGAAACGTTAGATGAATCTCATAAATACCAATAGTTTTACAAATCGAAAAGCCAACCGGCTCCAATTACGAATCAACATGGAGGGTTCCCTAGTTCAATACAAAACAGTAAAACAACTACATAACTAATGATTCATACAGACAAACCAACCAAACAAAAACGCCTTCAAGCAACTGACTTGACTTGTGATTATTATACTCTTTTTTGCTCCATTGACTGATACAAGTTGTCATTTTGTTCTCTTGGGACTATTCTTTTTCCTTTTTTTTTTTCATTCAAAGGCTTCACGGAGTGTCAGATATGTTTATTCCGGTCAATTCAAAACAATAAAATATCCACTAAATTTAAAATTATTTTAAGAACTCAAAAGTGACAGTATACTCATTTTCTAAGTCTTGTATATCATCAAAGATAGAATATTTGAGAAATGAGTGATATTAAAACCATTCCCTTCATCTCCATAGTTAAACTACCCTGATTTCTTTTTAATGAGAATTATAACAAGTACTAAATGAAATCCACGACTCCTCAAATAAATTAAAATGTACATAAAATCCCGACGTTACTGCAGATTTTTTATCTAGCTCTCAAACCATCCCGCCATCACAACCACTATTTGAGTATATAACTGTTAGTGGTTTTGTATAATGCATATATAAAATATATATAAGACTATCCTTTATCTAGCGGAAGCGAATATTTGCTCGTATCTTTTATCCGACGGCTACTAGAGTCGTCAGTATCCTCCACGTTCTAAAACCCGAGCCGCCTTGTGATGGTTTCGGCTCAACAAGAGATATATGCACTTAAAGATTATTTGTGGTAATATAAACACAAACTCTTTTCATTTTTCTCGTGTCACACTTTCAAGATGCACAAAAGCACCTTATTTATACACTAAATGAAGCCTTTATTTAATCTCAACTTCATAACTCCATACATAATAAAGGTGAGTAACAACTCCACCATTAAGTGGATGTTACAAGTAAATTGATGCATGTAACATCAATTACAAACAATAATAACTAACTCCGTCAATTTCCGGGGAAAAGACAAATGGTGCAAAAAACTATTATACGGCGAAAATAGATTATGACAAAGGAAAAAGATGGAGAAGCAGAATAAATCGTAAAAAGAAGTACAACAACAGTAAGAAAAACTAGAATTGGCAGAGAAGATAAAAAGTTACTAATCACTCCGAGGATGGGTAAAGAGAATGAACAATAACTAACAACATTTTTTCAAAATAAGAAAAACACATTGATCGACGATACATTGGATCAGATGGTGGGATAATCATCATGTCATGATCTTCATCCAACAGTGACCTTTGCAAAACTGAACGAGAAAAATGCCGATAATATGTTGCGCTTAAGCAATGCAACCACCACATGCGATGCCCCTGCTGCAACGAAATATTACCTATTACAAGTTAAGTTTACAATATAATAACACCAAATTCTCACCACCATTTTGTTACAGAAAGGCACAAAGAGTATGATTTGTCATTTAATAAAGTGAAATCAATCGAATATTATTTACACTTGAAATTGCACCCTAAAGGATCTAAAGTTTGTCATTCTTCCATTCCTCTTCACATAATCAAACTCTACTTTGTAAATGCAGTAGAATCATGTGTCATGTATGTATTTGTTGTGAGCATAGTTAAATTTAGAAGACACCTGAAAAATTATCAGTTCACATATTAATGGTTATTCTGATAACGACTGATGGAATGAAGAGTACTGACACAATTAAGCAGCAGGCAGTGGCGCGTCTTTTCTTGTGTGCAGCCATTTCTTTCCTCCGAGAAGGTTGCAGTACAACCTTAATTGCCGTATCGAACACAGCTTTCACATTCTGCCAATAAACACACAGTTTATAGTTTTTGATTCGTAAAAGTAAATTTACGATTTTTTAGATGATGATTATGATGACAATGACAACGACCTGTTGAGTTTTAGAGCTACATTCTATGTAAGCTGCTGCACCAATTTGTTTCCTCAGCTCCTCCCCCTACAAAATTTTGACCAATTAAATTAATAACTTACAATAAATTGATGAACACAAGGTAAAAAGAAATGAAGAAGGCTAAGTAAGCACGCACTTGGGAGGTTGTAATGACATGGTCGGCCAGATATCCTCGATCATCCCGAAGATCTACAGCAGAGAAAATTGAGCAATTAATTTTAATTCCAATATGTCAAATAATAATTGTAGGCAAAATTGCAATTTTAGTCCTGTTGTTGTGATCCAGTGGCGTTTTCAGTTGTAAGAATTAAACACTTTTGTTATTTGGTGCTATGATTTTAAAATTCAACCCAATTTCAGTCACTTGAGACTGAAAATACAACCAAATTTCAAATTACAGGGTTTAAATTGCTAATGAAAAATCTCTTGGATTGAATTTTTTATTAGCAAATTTAAGTCATGTAATTTTAAATTTTATTGCAAAATTCAGGACAGAAATTGCAGGAATATACTAAATTACAAGATTAAAAGTCAAAAAGTTGAAATCTCGAGACTAAAAATGCTACAGCGTTAAACCAACAAACATGACTAAAAATACAATTTTGCCTAAATTGGGCGTAATGAGACGAGCTAATAATGTCATACCTAACTTTGTTCCGACGAGAACAATAGGGACGTTAGGAGCAAAACGTCGAAGTTCAGGCATCCACTGTGAAGAAATGAGAAGAACACACATTTAAGAAATCAACAACCGTATGTGTTTCTACAGTTTTGCTATCCACACTTGTGCACAAATACTGTATTAACACGTGTTCTACAAGGTGTCAATACATTCATCACTCCATAAAAGAACCATCCGACAGCTCAATAGAATTTATGTATGTTTCTATCAGGTAACCAACCTATGTTTTTATCAGCACTTATGGTTTTCTCAAACGGATAAAATTCGACAAAGAACACAGAGTAGTTGTTGTTATTTATAATACCTTCTTGAGGACATTTTCGTAACTGGCCCTACTGATTAAAGAGAAGGCCAATACAAATATGTCGGCTCCTCTGTAACTCAGTGGCCTCAATCTGCTGTAATCCTCTTGACCTGCGGTGTCCCACAGTCCCAAGTTCACAATGTTGCCATCGACGGCCACATTGGCACTAAAGTTGTCGAACACTGTTGGAATATAGTCCTGCAACATTATAGTACACAAACACATAAGCATTACAGCACAAGAATTCTTGTTTTTTTTTTTTTTCTTAAAAGAAAAACAGAGATGAAAGAAAAAAGAAAAACCCCAAAACCCCTAAATTAAAAAGAGACAATCTTTTTCAAGTAGTAATTATAATAAAACTTGGGAAGGTGGTAATTAATTAATGAATGGAATTACATACAGTGGGAAATTTGTTGCTGGTGTAGCATATGAGCAAGCAAGTCTTTCCCACAGCTCCATCTCCAACAGTCACACATTTTATGAACTTGGAAGCACTCATTTTTTTCTTCTATTTTTATTGTGAATGAGAGAGAGAGAGAGGAAGGAATTGTTGGATAGAGAAAGTGAGGCCAAAATACAAAGAAAGGTAGAAACAGAGAGAGAGAGAGAGAGAGAGAGAGAGAGAGAGAGAGAGTATGTAATAAGTTAAATAAACAAGCGCATGTGTTTGTGGGGGTGTGTGCTGCTGCTGCTGCTGGTGGTGCTCTATGAAGAGTAAGTAAGTAGAGTCAAACGGCCACATTTATTGACACCCACTTTTCATCCCTCTCAATAAAATTTCAAAATCCCAACAGAAATATTTTTTTGAGTTTGAGAGGGACATTCATATTGTGGGACCTCTTCTTAAACGGCACCAAACCACATTTTTTTATTTACTCTTTTTCTTTACCACACACTCACTCATTATTTAGTTTTTACTACTCTTCATAAATCAAACCATAAATGGACATGTATTTTGGTTTTTGGTGTTTTCTTGTTGGCTACATTTATTATGCAAAACACCAAAAGCACTAAATTAATATTATACTAGTACGCCACTCGTGCGTTGTGCACCATGATGTTAAAAAATTAGGAGTTTTATCAATACAAGGCTCGAAAGATGGATAAACTATTAATACGGGGCCTGAAAGATTTTTTTTTTCAATTCGGGACTTAAACGTTGATAGGACAAAGATATCACCCGGGCTCCCTCGACTCGGATGGCCACCATACCTGCAAGAACCCAAAGCCAGAGTCCCCGGGAGGGGTGCCCGGCTTTGGGCCTCTGATGCTTAAGTCAGTACTTGATTCATAAGAGAAGGCATATAGAGAGAGAGAGAGTAGAGAGAGAGTGTGTAGTAATTGAATGAGGAGAGAATGTAGGAAATGAGTACCTTCTCCCCCTTTTTATAGGGGGGTGTACCTTATACTCCAAATTGGGCTTGACTCATCTTATCATATCAAGTGTCTTAGCCTATGTACAGACGTATTCTTCAATATATACCCATAAAAACCGGTCGGGTATGACATGTTATATCAGATACTACCGGTCGAGCCGGCAGTACTAGCCGTGGCTATATCATCTAGTTCCCCCCCACTCTGGTCGAGTGAGCATAACTCGATCCAAGAGTGAAAAATAGAGCAACTCGCCGCTAGAGTCAAACACTGGAAACCGAATGGTTGTAGAGGTCGAAAGTTAAGTGACCCACCACTGGGGTCAAGCATCGGAAGTCGGATGACCAATAAGATCAAAAATTGAGTGACCCGCTTCTGGGTCGAACACTAAAAGTCGAATGACCCTTAAGGTCGAAGTCCACGACCCTTTGTTAGGGTCGAGGATAGAAAGCCGGATGATCATTGAGATTGAGATCCAAGTGACCCGCCTCTGGAGTAGAAACCCAAAAGATCTGCATCCGAGATCGAGAATCGAAACTGGGGTCGAATGCCAAAATATTTGTCTCTGAGATTGAGCATTATGTTTGAGATTGGGTACTGAATAACTCGATGCTACCTTCAGGTCGAGAACCAAATTGAGGTCGAAAAACCTAATCCAAGAACCGAATGATAGTTGAGGTTGAAATCCAAGAACTGATAGACCACTGAGGTCGAAACCGAGAATTGAGAGACCACTAAGGTCGAAAACTGAAAATCGAGTAATCGTCGATAAGGTTGAAAGTCGAGATTTGAGAGACCACTGAGGTCGAAAACTGAAAACTGAGTAGTCGTCGATAAAGTCAAAAGTCAAGAATCGACAGACCGCTGAGGTCGAAAGTCGGGAACCGAGAGTCGAGAGACCGTTGGGGTCGAAAACTGAAAATCAAGTTATCGAGAGACCACTGAGGTCGAACATCGAATGACCCTGAGGTCGGAGACTGTAGATTGAATGACCCTTGAGGTCGAAGTCGAGTGATCCACAATTAAAGTAAAAAACCGAGACTGAAGTCGAAAACCATATGACCGATTCCCCAAAGTTGTGAATTTGAAAATTTGAACTTACACATCCTGCTTTGTCAATTAATAATAAACCTTTCCGGTTACCTCATCCTGTCGCCCCCTAGTTCAAGGTTTGAAATTCAAGCCTGTTGTGTATCCTCTCGAACACTGAAAGTCCTGACTCCTCTCTCACATCGAAAAATCGCATTTTACAAAACAAAGTCATAAAACCGTCAACTTGCTCGAGCAATAATAAATAAACTCAACCTGCCACCGAGGTCGAAAAATAAATTTGATAATACATCACCAAGTGAAAAGCAATCAACCTGCTCGAGCAATAAGGAGTATCCTCGACTTGCCACTGAGGTGGAAAAATAAATTCGACAAACCAGAATCAACAACAACCTGCTCGAGCAATAATGAATAATCAAGTGAACATACTCGGGCAATAATGAACATACTCGACCTTCCACCGAGGTGAAAATGGCATTTCGACAAAATTAAATTCAAATACAAATCATCAACCTCCTCAGGCAATAATGAATATACTCGACCTTCCATTGAGGTCGAAAAACAATTTCGACAAAATCAAGTTCAAATTCAAATCATCAACGTGCTCAAGCAATAATGAATATACTCGACCTTCCATCGAGGTCGAAAAACAATTTCGACAAAATCAAGTTCAAATTCAAATCATCAACCTACTCAAGCAATAATGAATATACTCGACCTTCCATCGAGGTCGAAAAACAATTTCGACAAAATCAAGTTTAAATTCAAATCATCAACCTGCTCAAGCAATAATGAATATACTCGACCTTCCACCGAGGTCAAAATATAATTTCGACAAAATCAAGCTCAAATTCAAATCATCAACCTGCTCAAGCAATAATGAATAAACTCGACCTTCCATCGAGGTCGAAAAACAATTTCGACAAAATCAAGTTCAAATTCAAACCATCAACCTGCTGAAGCAATAATGAATATACTCGTCTTCTCCCCAACCTGCATGCGAGCTGGTCGAAGTCGAGCAACGATTTTAGCAGCTTCATAGCCGATAAATGAAAGTTTTCAACTCGTCTTCTCCCCAACCCTTCTTACGAGCTGGTCGAAGTCGAACAACGATTTTAGCAGCTTCATAGCTGATAAACGAACGTTTTTCAACCCGTCTTCTCCTCAACCCTTCTTGCGAGCTGGTCGAAGTCGAGCAACGATTTTAGCAGCTTCATAGCTGATAAATGAAAGTTTTTCAACTCATATTCTCCCCAAACCTTCGTGCGAGCTGGTCGAAGTCGAGCAAAGATTTTAGCAGCTTCATAGCTGATAAACGAAAGTTTTTCAACTCGTCTTCTCCCCAACCCTTCTTGCGAGCTGGTCAAAGTCGAGCAACGATTTTAGCAGCTTCATAGTTGATAAACAAAAGTTTTTCAACTCGTCTTCTCCCCAACCCTTCTTGCGAGCTGGTCGAAGTCGAGCAACGATTTTAGCAGCTTCATAGCTGATAAACGAAAGTTTTTCAACTCGTCTTCTCCTCAACCCTTCTTGCGAGCTGGTCGAAGTCGAGCAACGATTTTAGCAGCTTCATAGCTGATAAACGAAAGCTTTTCAACTCGTCTTCTCCCCAACCCTTCGTGCGAGCTGGTCGAAGTCGAGCAACGATTTTAGCAACTTCATAGCTGATAAACGAAAGTTTTTCAACTCGTCTTATCCCCAACCATTCTTGCGAGCTAGTCGAAGTCGTGCAACGATTTTAGCAGCTTCATAGCTGATAAACGAAAGTTTTTCAACTCGTCTTCTCCCCAACCCTTCTTGCGAGCTGGTCGAAGTCGAGCAACAATTTTAGCAGCTTCATAGCTGATAAACGAAAGTTTTTAACTCGTCTTCTCCCCAACCTTTCGTGCGAGCTGGTCAAAGTCGAGCACTGACGTTTGTTTTGTCGATATGACTAGTATTGTAACTATAGTTTGACTTGTTCGTAGTTAGTATTGAGCTGAATTTTTTCGAGAGTCCATTCAAAATATGCAACTTCACCGTTGTCAATAAATTGACTTCATATTTGTAGGCTTCGTAGCCTTTTTGAGAATCTCCTTGAGAAACACAACGTCGTAGTTATTTATAGGTCGACTTCATAGTCGTAGGCTTTGTAGCCTATTCGAGAATCCACTCGAGTTACAACTTCGTAGTTGTTTAAATTGACTTTGTAGTCGTAGGCTTCGTAGCCTATTCGCGAATCCACTCGAGTTACAACTTCGTAGTTGTTTAAATCGACTTCGTAGCCTTGTCGAGACTCGAGTTACAACTTCGTAGTTTTTTGAATCGACTTCGTAGTCGTAGGCTTCGTAGCCTTGTCGAGAATCCACTCGAGTTACACCTTTGTAGTTGTATGAAATCGACTTCGTAGTCATAGGCTTCGTAACCTTTTCGAGAATCCACTCGAGTTAAAACTTCGTAGTTGTTTGAATCAACTTCGTAGTCATAGGCTTCGTAGCCTATTCGAGATCCCACTCGAGTTACAACTTCGTAGTTGTTTAAATCGAATTCGTAGTCGTAGGCTTCGTAGCCTTGTCGAGAATCCACTCGAGTTACAACTTCGTAGTTGTTTAACTCGACTTCGTAGTCGTAGGCTTCATAGCTTATTTGAGATTCCACTCGAGCTACAACTTCGTAGTTGTTTATATCGACCTTCCCCCGAGGTCGAAAGATAATTTTGACAAAATCAAGCAAGGATCAACATCAACCTGCTCGAGCGCATGCCCACCCTTGGAGGGGTGGTCGACAAATACGACCACCCAGCCCAGAGGCCTTAGTCATGGTGGATATTTTGTCTTCGACCACCCAGCCCGGAGGACTTAATCGCGGTGGACCACCCAGCCCGGAGGCCTTAGTCATGGTGGATTTGTCTACTTCAACCACCCAGCCCGGAGGTCTTAATCATGGTGGACCACCCAGCCCGGAGGCCTTAGTCATGGTGGATTTTTCTTCCTCGGTCAACTCGAGCACTTCAACCTGCCACAGGTCGAAGAGAAATACTTCGAGCACTACAAGATATGATAACAATCGATCATTCTAATTAGCATCACCAAGAATATATTTACACGAGCAAGATAATCGTAAAAATATCTTGCGTATCACAAAATCATCAAACACATTTTCAACCTCATTTTCTTGTATACACGATGACTTCTACTCGATTATTCCCTGCTATCCATTCCTTATTTCAACCCAAAAATCCATGTTGTATCCAAATATCAGTACACATGTTCATGTGTTTTCCTCGGCGAACATCAAGCAAAATTCCATTAATCATAGTTTCTTCATATCATCCAATTTGCAATTCCGATAGCAATAATAGCAATAGATGCATCAAAACAATCAAATCAATCCACGTGTTACTATATCACTCAACCATCCGCAATTAAGCTCTTTATCGCGATAATAAAGGACATAAATATCCGCTCAAATGTATGATAGACCAGAATTTCACAAAACCAA